CAGTCTAACTTGAAGATGGTTCAGGTACTCGATTTAAAGTCAATGTACACAGAATTAAACCGTATTGTGTGAATAGTCAAGCTTGCCTAATTGACGATTTCGACTTAAAATAACCTGTAGTCTGAATCAGGTCGTCGAGCTAACGATGTTAAACAAAAGCGCTTTATGGGAGGCAACCCATTATTTTTAATTCTGTTACATTTTCAATTTCAATTTCAAGTTATATTTTGATTAAGCATGTTTCATCTATTTTTTTATTTTGCAGGAACATAATGTTTTCAAACTTAAAAAATGAAGATTTGTGAAATTATCATTCGAACAGTGCCAAATTCAGATACCAGGAGCAATGTAATGACGTGTAAGCAGTGTGGTACCGATACCCCTCATACAGTATCGATACCGTAGAAAACAAAATCGAAATAAGGTAATGATACCCTCAGATGGTATTATACTACTATATAGTGGTATCAATACCCCTCTGATGGTACTGATATCGTTGACTCCCTACGGCGCACGTTAGCACACTTTTAAGGAGATCGACACACGTTAGTAAAACCCAAAAATTTCCCCCTTTTTGTTATCTTTCTGCCGCCCCCACTTCCCAATTCTTTTTTCTCTTCCTTAACTTTGACTATAGACCCCACCCCTATCTCTTTCACTTTACCTTTTGATTTTAAACTTACCTTTACTTCATAAAAAACAAAACCCCAATTCTACTGAAACCCAAACACCCCCCACGCATAACAGAAGTAAAACTCCCCTAACTTCTTCAAGCACTTCCTTCATTCCCCAAAAACACACCATCATTTCTTTTCCGCTCCTCACCGTCGTTAGACTATCGAACAACTACTTCCTTCCTAACGTGCTTCAACCTCTTCTTTTAATGATAGTACGCACGAGAAACCGATCGGACAACATCAACGCTCCTCTGCCCACCGTCCTTGGAGTACGTCGCCGCTCCAATACACTGGCGTTTGTTGAGGTGCCAGTGATTTCGATTCCCTTCCACCGCCATCCTATGTTCGACTGATGTAAGGCCTTGGCCGAGCCTCAACATCGCCATATCATTTGACATTTCCACCGACCGACTCGCTTCGCCCCGGGCTGAGCACCTATCACCGTTTGTCACCACCACGCTCCCCATCTCCATTGTTCCACTTAATTCTGACAATAGCAACATCATCGTCTTATCCACAACTGACGGGTTTCCCATCATATTCGATGTATTCAGCGGCGTCGGACAATACTCCAGATGTAAACTCAAGTCCTTTTTCGGTTCAACCTTTGCTAATGTACCATCCTATTTATGGTTTTACAAATGACATTACTACTGGTTTTCCACCCCCGGATCCCTTATCTCTAACATCAAGCTCTCGACAGTAACCTGAGCGTTCTGCTTCACCGAACCGTTCCCCTAGCCCAGATGATGCCCCTGCTTTTGAAAGTCCACAACCTGTCCATGAAAATCTAGAGCGCAGCCGAAGGGGTAGGTCATACGTTGTCCTTACCGAAGAAACACTGCATGGATATTTGTAATTTTTGAACGACGAATTGGTACTTTTCGAGTCGGTAAGACATCTTCCTTTCCGCATAGGTAAATATATTCTGACTCGAACTTTAGAAACTTTGTATTTACGTGAGTATGTTCGTGTATATTTTACTGCCATTGGTTGGAATTTATATCCGATGATTAACTGTGGAATGTTTTATGAATTTGTGTTTGAATTTTACGCCACTTTTAATTTTTCGCCACATCGTCTTCTTAATGTCAATTCACCCGATGTCATTACATTCTAACTATGCGAAAGTTATTTTTCATTGTCTATATCAGAATTTAATCTTGCTATGAGGTTCGTGACGGATGTCATAAATCATGCGTATTTAACTGATTTACTTAAGATTCCGTAGGATTTCGATGTCGATATGGCCTATGAGACTCTTACCGACTTGGCTGGCCACACGTTCAACGCTCTCTCAACTCGAGCTCATCTTATCCATGACTTGGCTTTGCGCTACATCCACCGCTTCCTCTCCTATAATTACTCCAGCCGGAATAACTCCTCCTCCTCATTGAGCAGAGTGTAACTATTCTTTTTATGGTGCATGATAGCCGGCCAGCAAGTGAACTTGGGATTTTGGTTTTCTTGGGCCTTTGAGATCGTTATTCGATCCAATCGCCCACTTATCCTTGGCTCTTACAATACTCATTTAGCTTATCGCATCGCTAATTTTGACGTTACACGTTTTACTTATGCTTTTTTCCACATATGCTTTGGATGAGGGATGCTTGGATTCAATGAGCCTTCTTGTTGGAACCCTGAGCGCACCATACATCGTTGCCCCACAACCACCACCTGCAGCACCTCGTTCGAATATGTAGTCTCAAATGGATGAAGTCCACAACCGCCTCCATTCTATTGAGACGAACATTACTGAGATCTTTTCCTATCTGTGTCCCAGCGCCTCCTACCGCGGCCGAGGCCGTGGTTGACATGAAATCCGGGGAGTACTCTATTTCTTCTCTTGCACTTTAATTTTAGGTTTCCAGGCAAAACGCTTTAAGTAAGGGGGAGTAGAGTGTAGGTTAAATTTCCCTTTTTTTATCCTTATATTTTGATGCTAGTATATGTTGGTTGAATTTGCGGAAATTTCATTGAATTTCTTTGTCTTGCTGAATATTTTTGGTATGCTATGCTTGTTTAGGAACACATGATTGTTTAGGTTAGGATGTTCTTGATAGCGAATAGCATGAATTGTGATCAAGTTGGTATTTTTGTGATATTCTATAATTTTATTTGTTGAAATGTGCTTAGCTGAATGCATGAAACAATTTGGTGAGATTTGAGTCTTTGCGAGCATATCATTTTTTCTCTCATTTTGTTGGATTGAGTATGTTGAATTTTAAATTGGTATTCTAGAACCTACATTTTAAATACTGTCGAGATTACACATGAACATGATGCTTAAAGATGATTTGGGCACCTTAGGAATAACCATTCCGTTCTCCTCACTAAATTGCCTACCCATGCATTTCCCCTAGTTAACCATTTTTGAGCCTATTCTCACTTCTTTGTTTTCACCACATTTATAAACTCGAGCCTTTTTATTTTTATCTCTCTTTTCTACCATTTTCAGGGCAAGTGAACAGTCAATCCGATGTATGCTCCAAAAAAAGAGAAAAAAAGAAGCATTTCAAAAGAAAAAAAAAGAAGCTGTTCGAAAAAGACATGAAAAAAGGAAAACAAAACAACAAAAATGTGAAAAAGAAAAAAAAATAAAATGCATTTCGAAAGGAATTTTGTTGTTCAATAGTTTGTCTTTTTATCTTGTTGTGCTTAATGTTTTGATGGAGTTGAACTTGTTATTTGTTAGTTCATTGCCTTGAATATTTAGTCATATTAATTAGCCTTTTCCCCACCTTTACCTAAGTCCCGTTACAACCAATAAAAGACCCTTTGATTTATGCATCTTGTTCTCAATATAGTAGTGGAGATTTGATTTACTTGCAGGCCTATGGTAATATCGTGTCGGTTCTGACATTGAGTGTTTCTATACCCCAAACACATTGAGTGATTTGAGTGAATCCAGGTAAGGTATTGAGTTATAAGTATTGAGATTGATGAATGAATGGATGTTATAATTGCATTTGTCTTGTTCCAATTGGTTATGTTCAATTGATTGATTTCTTGACTTGAATAATTATTGTGGTAGAAAGGTAAATGAAATTTTTGACCAATTTGATTATATCATACTTGAGGACAAACATGAGATAAGTGAGGGGGAATTTGATGAGTGTTCAGAATCGTTAATATTTGTTCATTATTTCTTCAATCTTGTGGATTTATTACTACTAATTTGGTTGTGTTATGCTTATTTTCGTGCAGGTCCTTACTTTCCAGAACTAGTGGTAACACGGGCGTATTCTGTATTTTTTATTATTATTTGGTCACGGCTGGAGACATGGGCATGACGCGGTCTGACGTGGCAGTTTCTAGAAGGTCCAATAAGTGAAGATCTCTAGAAGATCTACTCAGCGCGCCTTCTGGAAGATGGATGAGCAAAGTTGCATTAGGAGACTTGTTTAGAGTTTGAATTTAGAAAAAAAAAACAATTATTTTTAAGATTTTTTTATTTTAACTTCTTTGTTTATCCTTAGACTTTGAGAGGTTATAAATACCTTCTTGGGGTAAGCCTAAAAAAATCTCAGATTACAATCTTCTTTTCTTTCTAGTTTTATAAAAAAAATTCTCCTTTATTTTACTTTTCAATTTTCGTTTTTTTACTTTATTTTTTAAGTTTTATTTTAAAACATGCTAAGTATGACTTTTGTCATGCTTAGCTAATCTTTTCATAAGCCGAGAGCTGAAGCGATGACTCAATTCCAAAGGGAGAATTGAAACAGACCCTTAATATCTTTAGAATATCTCTCTCAATCTCTGCTCTTATTTTTCAAAATCAAAACAGTTTTCAAAATCAAAGATAGACTTTGGTCAAGATTGTTGTTGCGATTAAACGTGTGAGAGGAAGGATCGACTTATTGAAAGCACATTCGACTTCTTGGGAACACACTTGGCGAGATAGCTTCACCAAGAGGGAATTGAGATCAAAATTGACGGCTATAGAAACAACAATCCGAGTCGGTCGCTACGAACTTAAACGATAATTGATCTACGACAATTGATGTTGATTAGATTAGTTTCCGAAGCCGGAATCAAATATTACCTTGGGCATTCGGTATACAAGATAGTCACGGGGATTGCACTTGTAGACAAAGTAACCGATGTGAATCCCAAAAGAAAAATCTAATTCGATGATCTAAAGGAAATTGAGTCAAAGCGAAGCTTGAGACTGTTTTTACCATATCCATTTACAATCTTTATTTTCTTATTTTTTTTACCTTAATTACCTTTTATTTAAACTCTTTTATTACTTAATCATTTTTTATCAAAACCCCTCATTCACTATATCACGTCTGACATAAATAATTTAGCTAAAAAGGTCTAAAATTTTCTAAGTCCCTGTGGAATTGACCCCTTGTCTTTTGTTCCGTGAGGAGAGCCGAAAGTCCCTGCAAACAAAAAAGAAACAGATATGGAGACAGTGCACGCGTCTCCTTGTCTGAGACCCCTTTTAGGCTTGAACAAGTCAAAAATTTTCCCATTAATTCGCAAACAAAAAGAGATTGATGTAATACATGACATGATGAGTCGAATGAAATTGGCGTCGAATCCTAATTTTGGCATAACATGTTCAATGAAATTCCATTCCACTCTATCATATGCTTTCTCCATATCGAGTTTAATAGCATCACCTTTATTAGAGCCGTTTTTGAAACCTTTGAGGTAGTGGAATAATTCATGTGCAACCAAAAAGTTATTCGATATTTTCCTACCTGGAACAAAGTTTTTGACACAATCTTGTAGATGATCGAGTAAAGGCTTATCGGCCTAAAATTTTTCTTTAACCTAGGACAATCAATTTTAGGAATCAGTACAATGACAGATTGGTTTACAAAACCAAAAGACGACTGACCCCAAAGAAGACTTAAGCAAAGGGAAATAACATCATTACCAAATAACATCATTACCATTAATGTTCCAAAATTTGTGGAAAAAACAATCTGGCATACCGTCTATACCGGGGGCTTTGTTCGGATTGATTTGTGAGAGGACTCTACGGACTTCCTCGGCTATGTACTCCTTGCAAAGCTCCGCGTTCATCTCCGGAGTAATGCACCTATCAATCACGTTCAAGATGGTAGCATCCGGTTCGTTGTTGGACGATTTGAAAAGAGTGGTAAAGAAGTCTATTGCGACGTTAAAAATTCCTTCAAGCTGGTCAACCCAAATCCCATGCTTGTTTTCGATTCCAGCCACCCAATTCCTCTTTTTCCTTCCGCTGGCTCTAGCATGAAAAAACTTCGTATTCCTATCTCCGTCTTTCAGACAAGAGACCCGCGATCGTTGTGCCCAATACATCTCCTCTTTGTCCACGATATTTTTGAGCTCTTTCTTTGCTTCCCAAAGGCTTTGGAAGTTGGTGGGGGAGATGGAGGCTGTGTTCAAACTTCTAATAACATTGCGTAGCTCTTTCTCTCTCTTCCTTTCGCTTTCATTCTTTTATCCAGCTGCCACGACTTTAAGCAAGAACCAACCTCTAATATTCTGTTCCATGCAGAGCCATTCGAGTTATGACATTGATCTTGCACCAGATTGCCGCATTCAGGATCATCCGCCCAGTATTTGTTGAACTTAAAATAGTCATTCCTTCCTTTTTTAGAACGATCGATAAGCAGCCCTTAGGAGTCAATAATAATGGCAGCATGGTTTGAGGAGGTGGTATGCTCAGTTACCACCAAGAAGGACTGATACATGGAAAGCCATGGGGAGGAAGCCACGAAACGATCGATTCTCTCCCTAATATGGTTGGTAACAGTATGTCCAGTGGACCATGTGAACCAGCCTCTACTTGGTTTTAGATCCCATAAGTCGCATCCTCTGAGCGCTTCTCTAAAGTTTTTCATATCCGAGGCGTTCCTTCTTCTTCCTCCCAGTTTTTCATTGGCAAAGAGAATTTCATTGAAATCTCCACCAACTAGCCAAGGAAGTGGAGAGGCCGACTTGATTCGGTCCAGCAAAGAGCAGTTTTCATTCTTCCTCGATCGCACAGCACCCATAAAAACCTGTAAAGCGAAAGGATTCAAGTTGGCAAGTGACCTCGACATCAATGTGAGAGTTTGAAAAACCAATAAGATTTGCTTGCATTTCCTCCTTCCACAGTAGAACCAGTCCGTTGTAGTCGTTTGTTTTCTCCACGACAAAACATTCCTTCATATCCAGTGACAGATTCAAAAATTTAAGAATGAACTTAAAAATAATAGGTATGTAAAAATTGTATTTTTTTTTTATTTTTTCCTTAACACATTAAACTAAATTTAATCACATTTTCAAAATAATATAGGGATGCACTTGATTCAATGGGACTTAGTGCATCTGGCACTGTTTATATCTAGTTATTGCGCAAGTTTTTCCGCTTTATTTTTCCAAAGACGTGACTCGTTGAAGAACACCATTTGGGGACTTTTGGCGGAGGTAAGTCTTAGTAGCTCACGAATTGTCGACAGTTCCTAAGCCCTCGACAATTCCATCCGATGATGATCATGGCTCTCGACGGGGCTGCTCCGCAACCTTCGTCATTAGGGTAGGCGAGATACTTTGGCCACTCGCCTGAGTGGCCGGGTCTTCTTCCTCCGATAGTATTCCTTTGCGATAATTTTTGGGGGGTAAAGCAGGAGGTTGTTTCATTTGTACCTTGGAAGGTTCTTTTTGTGCTGCGTCTCTTTCTGACATTTCGTTTGCCATGCTTCCCATTTCCACTGTGTCCGGAGCTAGTATCCGATATATTAGCATGGTTTCCCCCATTGTCTTCAGCAGGAGTTGGGTTGGGTGTTAGCTCCTGTATGTCCTTAGCGATGTTTTGTTTCAGCAGTGGGATCAACGCTCGGCATGTCTCGTCTCCTTCCTTTATCTTGGCACATAATTCCTTGGTCGTGGCACGTTCAAAACCATTGTCTTGTGGTTTCTGGCTCTCGTCATTTGACTTCTCCTTTATCATCTTGCTTGAGTTTGTGATGCAGCCCGAGATCTCCTTCCCAGTAGAGCTGTCTACAATGACAATACCACGTTTCTTCCCTGCACTGTTGTTTGGTTGACCTTTGCTGGGAAAGCTTTAAGCCACTCATCGTAAGGGGTTAGATCCTTTGGTTCGTTCTGTTTGTTTGGGCAAGTGGTTGAAATGTGACCTATGATGCCACGGTCAAAGTAGAAAGAGGATAGTCTTTAGTATTTTAGGGGGCAAGTACGTGGTTGGCCATCGCTTTTAACTCCCAAGTTGACGCAGCGGCGAAGGGTTCTGTTCACGTCAATTTCAATACGTACACACAGATATTCTCCCATGCGCCCTCTCTAATTCGTAGATCTACTGCGAGGACCTTTCCTATAGCGTTTCCAACCTGCTCGCCTATTTCCCGGGTCATCCATCCCAGAGTAACGTTAAAGACGGGGATCCATATGTTTAGTCCGGAAAATCATAATCATTCAAGCTTAATGAGGGATTGAAATCCTTCAGGGATAGGAGATCTCCGTCGAAGCTCCACGGTGTCCGTTTTAGAACCGCATCCTTCTCCTCTGAGGAGGTGAACTTAAAATGAAAGAAATGTTTCTTCAGACATGTTGCTTCCATTAACTTGGCCAACCCCCATAGTGACCTGAAAACTTTCAGAACAACATCTCCATCAGCAGGTTTGGTGGTGAAGAGCTGGGTGACCACCAACCCTTTACAGTGTGTTCCTCAGTTGCTGGGATATCGGTTGCAGGAATAGGCTCAACTATTGTCGATTCCGCTTCAGCGAAATTCAGGTCATCCATTAGGTGGAGGACTTCGTCAGCCATGTGTTTTTGGTTAGGGGGCGGTTTGAGGTGAAAGTTTAAGTTGTAAGTGGAGCTGCTGTTGGTTCGAGGATTAGGGTTTGTGTGAATGGGAGAGTTTTGGTTCCGCCACCTTCGTATTCCAGAGTATTGTCCTTGTAACTGCATCTTGTGTTTTGGTGTGTGGTTAGCCGGTATCTCTCCTTGGACATTGGTTCACAGTTCGGGCTTCTTGCTTTGATCAGATAGTTCCCAACTTTGGTCTAACTGGGAAGCCATTGGAATCCCGGTTTACTTAGTATATATGCTCCATTGTTTCTTGCTTTTCGTCCGATGTCTGTAGACTCCTCTACCACTCTTCTTCCATTTTCCAACCACGAATCGTGATGTGCTATTACTATAACAAATTTTCTATATGACGTTAGGTGTATCGTCGCAAAACATATTATAATGACATTTTTTTTATTTTCGTCATATTTATTGATTAATGATATATCTTTTGTGACAATTTAAAAAATGATCATTGATTTTTGTCACTATATGTTTGGTGACAAAATCTTCTCACCAAATTCTTTGGTGGGAAACCTTTTAATGACATTTAGATAAAATAAGGACGTTGTAAAATCATCTCCAATGAAAAAACATGTATTAGAAACGATTTAATATAATGATGATTGAATTTGAATTAGTGGCGTTGCACATTTGTCACTAATAAGTTTTATTCAAGACAATTTAATTTGTCATTTTTTATAAGACACTAAAAGTGACATTTTATTATTGTCACAAAAAATAGTTTTAGCACGATGAAATCAATTATTTGAAACTTGTTTTATCTCTCTTTTTTATATAACAATTTTTAAAAATGCCATGAAATTATGTCAGTTAAAAATAATATAATCTAACAACCTTATTAAATAATGCAATTTATAGAGTTTTTTGTATTTTTCTATTTTATTGTCATTATTCTATATTAGATTATGTCACATTCAAAGCCTTTTTTATAGTAAAACATAAAATAATAAATCGTTAAAAATAAATGAGCAGATGATTTTTTATATATTATTATACTTTTATGATTTTCATAATGTTACATCAAAGTGTTTAGAAAAAAATAGATGTTTATACTTGATCATAGAAATACCCATAAAATTTTATAAAAATATATGCCAATGATAAGAAAATTTGTTGTGATGTATCCGAAAAAGAAAATGTGCATTAGACCGGAGAAACTTGTTCAGTGCACCAGACCGAGTTACTATACGAGCTGTGGATGTGCTGTATATATTTTCTAAATTTGGGGTGTGGAAAGGTGGCGGTTTGTGGACGTTTAGTACTTCCATTTTAACGTGGACGTTTGACCTTGGGGACTCCGGGAATTGGTTTTCCAGGGTTGAGCCATGGCACAGGGTGACCGAGGGTTGAACCTGTTGGGATTGATTACCAAGAGTTAACCGAGTAGACAAACCAAGAGAGAGGGGAGAAAATTTTCTCTCACTAGCCATTTTTCCTCTTTTTTTATAGAAAACGTTTTTACATACGTTGTAAAGGTACTTTCTATGAAAAAACACTTGCTAATGATACGACACAATCTTTGGATTATAAGGACGGAGCTATGTTAGGGCTTAAAGGGGCTCTGACCCTATAAAAATTTTATATATCGGATAAATTTAAGTTTAATAGTATTTTAATTTATATAAAAATAAGTATTCAATTAAAAAATGTAAAAATTTATTAAATATTTAATTAAGTAGGAGTCAAACTGAAGAAGGATAATCTCATATTCTCAAATTGTTTTGTCTAATAACAATTTATGTTATTATAAGTTTAAATATTAGACAAATTAAATATTTTCTTCTAAATTTTGAGTTTAAATATTTAATAAGTCATTATAATTTAAAAATATAATATTTCATTCCCTATTAATATTTAATTCTGGCTCTGTCAATTGGAAGAGACTTCAGGTATAAATCACCTTATAAAACTTAAAACTCATATAGTTTTATAATTATGTTAGTGGTTTAGAGTTTTAATTTTTAATGATTAAATTTAGAGTATAGGATTTAAAAAAGTCCTTAAAATATTTTTTTTAATCTTTAACTTATTTTTCATCAAAATAAGTTCTTGAGCTATCAATTAAAGTCCAAGACCACTAACTCAATTGTAAACCAGAGTGGTAATAAGTTTAGGTATTCTAATATGAACAATAAATTAGTCAACCTACGAACACATAAAGTCCCAAAAATATTTCAGTTTTTGTATTTAAACCATAACTTATTTTCTCTCTCAAAATAAGTCTGTAATGCGAAAATTAAAGCTCTAAACCATTAAATCAGTTGTGCATTGTAGCAGTAGCAGTTAAGAGTGAACTAAAAATAAAAGATTTAGTGTTCATGGTTTGAATTATTTAATATTCTTATAAAATACCTAAACTTATCACCACTTCGGCTTCACGAATGAGTTAGTAGTTTAGGACTTTAATTTTTAATTATTAAATTTAGGGTTAAACTTTTAAAAAAAATTCCCTACGATATATATTTTTAAGGATTTATTTTAACAAAAAAATGTTATGGATTTACATTAAAAAAAGGCATAGTTTAGAGAAAAAAATTAGTTTAGCATTTTTATTGAGGATGTTTAGGGTTTATTAATCTATTAGGGTTTTGGGAATTGTAATTATATTTTAATTATGATAAAAATATAATAACATATAGATTAATTGTATAAATTATATAAAAATATATATGTTTAGGGTTTATGATTGTTAAAGGTTAAAAGAATAAAAACCCTTAAAATACATAAAATATAAAATAAAGTAATATAAACTTATAATAGTGCACAATTATGGTTCACAGTTAAGAGATGATAAAATAGATATATAATTTTTTTCTGTTGTGACCTAGGTTTTTATATTATCCATATTATTTAGGTTCTTCAGTCATCTCTCTATGATATTCATATCATTATGATTATGGGTAGATTTGGACAAATTGAAGACGCAACTTCGAATCCGATAGAATTGTAGAACAAGTTTGAACCTCATTCAATTCTTTTTAATTACCTATCGAGGAAACTCATATTTGTATACCTTGAACACTTGCAAAAGTCAATATAAAAGATCAACATATATTTTGCAATTGATAGTAACATGTGAACATGATGCTATTTGATAGGTGGTTAATTTAGCTATTATTTTGTCTCTAATTTCCTCTTTGGTTGTTAGTTTTTGTGGTTGATTTGTTCTTTTTAATTCATTTTATGTGCAGGACATTAGATTCTAGAAATTACACTAAAATGAAAG